TTATATGAAACAGCAGAAAAAGCACAGCAAGAGAAAAACAAGGGTAAGTATAACACAAAGGGCTTCAAAAGGTGAGGGAAGGGCAGAAAAACATCTTGGATATTAGGAAATGTTTTAATTGTTTTCTACACCTTTATTCCTTTTTAGCCTTCAAAATATAGCCTGAATAAGTTAATGGCTTACTCTGGTTGGAACAAAAATTGGGACAGAAATGACAACTAGGTGTCATCTGCTAAGTTTAATTGAGGGCTTCCTGAAGTGTTGTGCTGAGAATGAAGGCATGCACCAGGCTTGGCCGGCAAAAGATATGTGATAAATTAGTGATGTTTACTACAGTCTCTGGCTACAAATTTACTATCCCAGTTAGGAGGATAAAGTGCCTGTTGAAGAGGATGGAAGGGTAAAGACTCAAAGGGTCTGTTCCAGAGGAGGAAATGACCTGCAGAAAGATTAGGTACAAGGTATAATATCAATGTTATCTGTTTAATATCTGCCTATCGTTATTTCTCAACCCCAATGACCTGATATATCATTTATTGCTGAGCCACAACAGCCTTTTAAAAAGCTTGATTTATAAGTACACGGTACATATCTAAACTATGGGCCTATAATTTACCTCTTAGCCAGAAAAACTTTTTTTGTATGTTTTTTGTTTTGTTTTGTTTTTTTCTGAGATGGAGTCTCGCTTCCCTGCCCAGGCTGGAGTGCAGTGGCATGATCTTGGCTCACTGCAACCTCTGCCCCCTGGGTTGAGGCAATTCTTCTGCCTCAGCCTCCAGAGTAGCTGGGATTATAGGCATGCACCACCATACCCAAGTAATTTTTGTATTTTTAGTACAGATAGTGTTCCATGATGCTGGCCAGACTGGTCTCAAACTCCTGACCTTAAGTGATCTGCCTGCCTTGGATGCCCAAAATGTTGGGATTACAGGTGTGAGGCACTGTGCCTCACAGAAAAACTTTTACACACTATAATAAACTAGTTTTGAAATAAATCTGGCTGGTTGAACACATATAATGCTGTGAAGAAGCTTCTGAGGATGAACACCAAAGGAAAGAAGCAGAGAGGAGAAAAACTGAAGTGCCAGAGTCTAGTTTAATGAAAAGATAACTTCATTTTTTTTTTAGATGGAGTCTCGCTCTGTCCCCCAGGATGGAGTTCAATGATGTAACCTGGGTTCACTGCAACCTCTGCCTCTTGGGTTCAAGTGATTCTCCTGCCTCAGCCTCCTTAGTAGCTGGGATTATAGGTGCCTGCAACCACACCCAGCTAATTTTTGTATTTTTAGTAGAGATGGGGTTTCACCATGTTGTAACATCAGGCTGGTCTCGAACTCCTTACCTTGTGATTTGCCTGCCTCGGCCTCCCTAAGTGCTGGGATTACAGGCGTAAGCCACCACGTCCAGCCTCACTTTCTTAATGTTGACAGAACGATTCCCACATCCAATGCCCAAAAGCCAGATAATTGGGCCTTATTTAATGACAACAACTTGCAAACGATCACTTTCCTAATAACAGGCCTGGTATAGGGCAGCAACTCAGACCTACTTTCAAAAGTTAATTGAATACTTTTTCTCTAGGTTTAAAAAAATTTCACAAAAAGTATAAACAAAACAAATCTAAGTTTTAGTATAATGTGAGCAGGTTACTGCAGAAAAAAACATCTCATTCTTTAAAAAAAAAAAAAAAAGAATCACTGAAATACCCTGTTAAGCTTTAAAGTCCAGCTTTTTCTTCTAAAACTCATGTAGGGCTGGGCACAGTGAATTGCTTGAGCAGTCACAATTAAAAAGCACATCAGCAAGCAAAAAGATCAGGGTGAATAATTTACAAATATGAATTTTTTTGTGTGGGAATTAAGAAATAAAAAAAATTAATAGATAACAATAAGTAGAAATATCAATATCCATACTATAGAAGTCCCAAGGAGAAAATAAAGACAAAGACTATCCAATAATTTCTCAGAATTAAAGGGGGAAAAAAGGTCAGATTGAAACAGCTCAGAGTACCAAAAAAAACAAACTACTTACAAAAGATCAGATGAACATATGACTTTCCAATATCAACACTAGAAGCCAAAAGACAATGGAGAGATAATTAAGCTAAAGAAGAAATGAAACTTTTAATCTAGAATTGTACATAGAGCAAAAATATGGCTTTAATATGAGGATAAAGCTATCTGGGCTGGGTGTGGTGGCTCAAGCCTGTAATTCCAGAACTTTGGGAGGCCAAAGTGGGAAGACCACTTCAGCAACATAGGAAGACACTATCTCTATCACAAGTGAGAGAGAGAGGGTGAGAGAGAGGGAGAGGGAGAGAGAGAGGGAGAGAGAGAGATAACGATCTGCAGGCACACAAAAACTCTAAGACTTAACCAAATCAAGTCTGTCTTTGAAAAACTCCAGCAAGGAAGAAGGAGTTAAATCCAAGAGAAGGCCAGGCACAGTGACTCACACCTGTAATTCCAACACTTTGGGAGGCTGAGCTGGGAGGATTGCTTGAGCCCAGGAGTTCAAAACCAGCCTGAGCAACATAGCAAAACTCCATCTCTATAAAAAATACGAAAATTAGCCCGGCATGGTAGTGTGTGCCTGTAGTCTCAGCTACCAGGGTGGCTGGGGTGGGAGGACTGCTTCAGCCTGGGAGGTCAAGGTTGCAGTGAGCTGTGACTGAGTCACTACACTCCAGCCTGAGATACAGAGTGACAGTCTTTCTCAAAGACAACAACAAACAAACAAAAACCTCCAAAACCCCAAGGGAATTCTGTGAGATACCTGAGATATGAGAAATAAAGGAGAATCGTTAATATGAAGTTTTTTGTACAAGTGAGCAATGGGAGCAAGGATGGTGAAGATAAAGTATATCCCTAAAAATCCAGAGTAAAACTTTAGTGAATATGAGTACGAAGAGGATTGATAAAAGAGTTAGGAACTATTTAAGAGGTAAAAATGTGCTGGGGTATCTGACTTGTTGAGGATGCTAACTGATACTGAAAAGCTTAAGACACAGAAGAAAGCATGAATATAAGTGTGACTCTTAATGTCTGATATAATCATCAGAAAAATGAGTGTAGGGCATATCTAAAGGAGTTATAATTATCCATTGCAAACATCTAGCTTTAAATATTAATTAGTGTCCAACTTAAGGAGAGAATAAGCACAAAGAAACAAGAAAAAGAAAATTAAGGGCAGATATCAACAAAACAAAGAACAAAAAGCAATGGAAAACCAACAGTTGATTTTAAGAAAAGGCTTCCACTACCACTAATAGCAAACAGCATTAACTGAACCCCTAC